ATCACTACAGTGCTCTTTCTCAAATGGCGTAAATCTTGGAAAAGAAGAAGAAGAGTTCTTAAAGAAGGTTTTACAAGAGTATGAAAATGATTCTGCCAATGGTCGCTACGATCGGTTCATTGAAGTACCTTTCCAACATGTGAGGCTAATACCTAAAATATATATTTGGTGCCCTATTAGGCACAATAACATTGTTGTAAACTGCCCTKTACATGGTTCTCCGTTACGCGTTGGAAAATGGACAGATGTATTAGATAGCCCGAGACCAAGTCCAAGAAACCCAAGACTGATCTATGATTTAAATTGAAATCTCCTGCTCATACAAGCATTTTACCATTGTAAGTATGATTGGAATGGACTTAGTAGATCAGGGCACAGTTATCTTTSTGCGTCAGCCGATGTTTTCGAAATTATTCCCGAGGAAATCAAGATCACTTTCCAAATTATTCTGCAACAAAGAAGTGGTTTTACTCTACGCCTATATGACAACATAYTGTGTGGATTATACCAAGGGCAAAATTTCATGGAAATATCTGAAAGCATCGCATCTATGAATTTCAGAGACTTCCTAAGAAACAACCCAAACAATGCACATATTGCGAAAAATTTTGAAAACAGCGTTTTTTGTTCTTTCCCAAGTAACGACAAACTGATGGATCTCTTCCTTGCTCGATTCGAACAGAACAGAAACAGATATGAAAGTATCATGTGCAGTCATACTGGAAAAGTGTTGTCATGTGACCACACATTTAAAACTAGTAAACATATAGGAGTGACTCGTAAAGATGGAAAGTTCGTCCATCAGTTTAACAATGTATTTCTCGGAGTGAATGAGAACGGCGAAGTTTTGACGTGGAGGTTCACCAAATKTACATCTTCTGAAGAAATAAAAGATCTGCTTCGACAGTATAAAGATAGACTGGATAGATCAGGAGAAACTTTGGAAATGATCATAGTTGATGATTGTTGCCATGTACGTAATTTATACGAAGGCATATTTCCAGGCGTAAAAATTCGGTTAGACATTTTCCAAACAATTTTCAAAACAATACCAAAAAGTGATTCAAATCGAAAACAGTTTTCAAATGAATTCTCTCTCATTTTCCGAAAAGACGYCGACCTCAATCAAGAACGGACAATGAATTCAGCAAGTCCGGATGAAATTGAATCAAATTTGGAACGTTTGCTGTTTTCTTGGCGTTCAAAATTAAGTGAGGAAACAATTCATRAGATAGATAACCTAAAAAAACACATACGCAACGGATGTATATCTGGAATTCCAGTTGGATGCGGAACCGAAGCAAACGAGAGACTCCATCGACATCTTAAAAGGACAATGCTATGTGGCGTTTCTAAAATAGGACCAGAGCTGGCAATTGCGATTATGACGTGCGTACTCTATGCATGGAATTGCAAAAGGAACGGAAAAACGTTGCACAATAAAAGGACAGCACCCATCCCGCCTATAGAAACTGTCAGTACCGACCAAATAGTGTTGAATCAAGAACAGCACATACGCTCAACATCYTCAGCTGAGGCTGCAGGTGACAGCTCCTCACGAGCAAAAACTACAWATACAACTGTGAATAAACATAGTACAACAAATGCTTTGGATGACCACAAAAGCGAGTTGACTGTTGATTTTGTGTTACAAAGAATCTTTCATTTACACGATTTTTTATCAACATTTATGGAGCAATGCAAAAACAAAACAGTGGATGTTTCATCGCTTCTCTTGACGTCTCCAACTACAAAAATAATGATTGACGAGGAATCAGAAGAAAACATTTTGAACTTTGATTTGACAGCGCAACATAATGACAATTTATTGAGAAACCTTTCGGGCTTCAATCTAGAGTTGGATGTCATGCCAAGAGATGGGAATTGTCTCTTCAGATCGCTTGTGAGACAAGTATATAAACACTTGAAAAATTACTGCAATACCGATAACGATGAAATGAAACAACATTTGACTTCCCTTGGTCTTTGTGCTAATCATGATGAAGACGAAGATGTTACAAAACTCAGGTACTTGTTTGTACAAGAAATGATGCAAAATATCAATGAATACAGAGCATGGATGTCTGACACGTGCAGTGCTTCCGAGATAGAAAAGTTCAAATTCGACGGGCATTTTGCAAGTGAAGTTGGTGATTTGTGTGTAAGGGCATGTGCAAACATTCTCAGGATTCCCATCGTGCTAATCACAGCATTGCCTAATGTTCCAAGCATTCCATTTTTACCTACAAACTTTGTTACGGCAAATCCTATTTATATTGCATTCCACCAATCTCGACAAGGTCACTACGATGCCACCAAAGGTAATTACTACAACAAAAGCCATATGRAGTATTTCTTTGTCTACTGTAAATCATGATAGGCAGCTTTAAAAGCTAAACATGGGTGTGGTCTTCATTCAAGGGAGAGTGGGAGAGCAAGTAAGAATTGTTTTTTTTTTTGAAATTTTGTTCAAGTAACACGATAGGGACAATATGGGCCAGGACCCAGTTGTACGAAGCCTGGGTTATTTAYCGCTATCAAGTGAATAAAGCTATCCAGTCTAAATGTTTTATTTAGATTTTATCAGCTGGGCAAGGATGGGCAAGGATTTATCCACTGGATAGCGCTATCCAGGCTTCGCACAACCGGCCCCAGGGACATTAGCCAGAACCAGCAATAAAGGGGCGGGCACTTTGAAATTTAGGGGGAGCACACATAGTAAAAAGCTAGAAAAATTTAAACTTGATTGTTTTTCCTCCATATATTTGAAATTGTGAATTTATTTTTATTTATTTATACATTCATTTTTTAGTCATTCACTCACACATTCACTCATTTATTGATTTATTTATTTACTTACTTATTTGCTTGCTTGCTTGCTTGCTTGCTTGCTTGCTTGCTTGCTTGCTCACTCACTTAGTTATTTCTTTATTTATTTATTTATTTACAGCCTTTTGCAAAAATTATGAGAATTGTCTAAATATCTAAATATCATAATATCCATATCCATATATTGTCTGGAACACGAGGATTTGCTAGAATAATTCATTGTTGACATCGAGAAATTGTTCAGAACTACGGATAAGTCTGTCGCCAAAAAAAACTAAACTACAAAGACAAGGGACTAAGGGCATCGCACAGGATTACCCATCATACACTCGATATTATGATATTTAGGTATTTCAACAATTCTCATAATTTTTGCAAAAGGCTGTATTTATTGGTTTATTGATTTTTTGATTGATTGATTGATTGATTGATTGATTGATTGATTGATTGATTGATTGATTGATTGATTGATTGATTGATTGATTGATTGATTGATTGATTGATTTGTTTTTAGACTGTGTATCAGAACTTCAAAGACAGGAGTGTCTTCCATTTGTGGGGACACGTTGTACATGTGGGAAAAATCTTAAAGATCCCTCTAAACAACATTGTATGACATCTGTATGCCAGTGTTGCCTTCATCAACAACCCTGCACAAGAAGATGTCGCTGTTACAACTGTATTAACAAGGAGACTGAGAGACATCCCTCCAATCCAAAAGTCCATTTATTAAAAGGCTGCAGGTGTGGAAGTTCCACTTATAAAGATCACAAAGCATGTAGGGATGGAAAGAGAAAAAGTAAATGTCCTTGTGTGGCTAGAGGTGTTGGCTGCACCAAACAGTGTAGATGCAGAAACTGTGGAAATATCATCAAAGTGGGGGGAATCGATAAATCAGTACCCAAAAACAAGGTGAAGCGCAACAGGAAAACTGTTTCTCCATATAAAAGAAAAGGAGGATTGGAATTCATGGACACTGAAGGAGCTGCTATAGTGCTATATATATAAGGCCCTTGGAGAGTTATGGAAACCCTTTGCCTACAAACATGCATCAACATTCTCGAGGATAACAATATAGCAGTAAATTCATTAAATTGTGGGGAACTATACAGATTTGTTACAGAGTCACATAAAGTTAACATAATGGSTTTAACTATTGCTACAAAAAATTCAGCTCAGGTGGCAGGGAAGTTGGTACATATAAGAAAAGCTAAGGCTTAAATACACTAGAAAATCAACGTGCATCATCTCCAACATGTTACACTGTACTGTAATAATTGTGATCTGATAATTCTAAGAAAGCCAAATTGACTAACGTTGCTATAGGTGATTGTTAAGTAACAGGAAGTTGACAGTTTGGCTTTAAGTTTGGGCATGTGTGATTGTCAACCTCCTGTTAAATTTATCTCCATTTTTGGGATAACAAAAAAATGTAACCCTCACTGTTTTAAAAGGTGGATATAAAGTCAATGATCTAGTTTAGAAATATAAGTTTAGAAATTAAAAAAACTTTAGAAAATCAACATTACAAATTGAATAAAAAATGATGCTTTAATTATATTTGAGTGTTCTGTGCTGGATGTATATAAATAGCTTTGTAGCTACAATCTTATTGTTGTCTACATCTTCTATCTGCTTTCATTATGAAGGGTGGAAAGGGTTTCCACA